TAACTACTCAGCCTAATCAATGACTTTTCCTCCACATCAATGCGTAGCATCTCTAAATATTTCTTTTGTAGATCTCATCACCCCTTCTGCAAAGCAGAAAGAGACCTCCCAATCTTTCTCCACCTGGGACATGGCAAATTGTAAGTTACTTGGGAGAGCTGGAATTTGAAGATAATGCTATAAAGTAATGGAGGCTGTAGTCGCAGAAGTACTGAACTATTGATTCAAAACCCACAACACAACTACTCTTAATTCTGATTGCTTCACTGAGTAAAATTGCCTCAGTTTGAGTTTCTAGGAGCCCTTCTAGGAAACGAGAGATGGATCAATGTGGAGAAGTGGGTATTTCAAAGCATTTAGACTCAGTATGGAAAGGCCTGGGTGCTGGGCTGGTCTCTATTTCTAGTTGAGTGACCAAGGACAAACTGTCACTGAGGGCCTCAGTGTCTTTGTTTATAAAATGATTAAGTTAATGAATATTATGGTCCTTTCTGATGTATGTTCTCTGGGATTCTGGGCTATATGGCTACCAAGTCAGAGTGTGACAATCACAGAATATTAGGAGGGGGGGGGGGGCGTTAGACAGCCAGTTTCCCCAGAGGCAGTCTGTCTTGTTTCTTTAGTCAGTCTTGGTTTTAGAAGTCCAAAAGGACCTGCACTGTTACCCAAGGTTTGGGGACCCAGACATCTGCTACTGCTCCCTTCTAACCCACTGCCAGCTGAGTAAAGGCACCCCCAGTTTTCATGGAACCCTCCACCAGGTAAACACTCTTCCTTCCACTACCTGTAAGACATCACTGTGTGCCAGGTGTGGGGCTGAGAAAACTCTTTCTGTTTAAGTAATCTTGAGGCAAGATGAACATGAAGGTGTTAGGGGCCCCTGGAACCTTAGCTGACACCAGCTAAAGTTATTCTGTCCAGTGAGGGATGAATAAATGCAGATCTTGATGTGCGTTCATTCAGGTGGAAAGAACCTCTCACACAGAGAATTATCTTTCTGCTCCTGCTGCTAGCTGAGTTCTTCTCCCTATCACAGGAAGTAACAGTTGGCTCTTGGCCACACAGTTCTGAAACATGTCAAGGAAAAACCCTGAAACTTGGCACCCACAGCTCCTAGAGGACCTGGGTCTTTTTTCTAGATTGTTCTGGGTGTTTCTTTCTTAGCTAGATGGGAGCCAAATAACTGATAAGGATGTCCACACGCAACAACACTTGCATTCTGTCACTTAGCAAGTCCTTACTGAGTACCTGCTCCACGAGAGACACTGGTCATGATCACCTCCTGCTCACTGGCAGTGAGCAGCAATACAAGGCTTGGAAGCTGATGCAAATCAGCTTCTTCATAAATAAGCAAAACCTCGTGTCAGAGTTTCTTGTAGACTGAGCATTAAATTTCAGCCATGTTCAGCTGGTAGATTTCTCTAGCCATGCCCTGGGTCTGAGTATCTGTCAATGGCTTGAGATAAAGGGCATTTTTGAAGGATGAATTTTAAGAAGGCCTTTGAGGGTGTTTGATCGCTGATTGGGGATGGGAGCTCCACACCAGCTTCAACAGACCTGCTTGCTGATGGGAAAGACTTTCCTCTCCTTGGGTTTTTCAACTTAGTACAAGGAGAGGCCATAAATGGAAAAAAAATAGCACCATTTTTAGAGAAGCCACTGAATAGCAGAGCTAACGATCAAAGCCAGATGGTCTGATGGTCAAACCCAGATGGTCTGATGCTGAAATGGGTGCTCTCTACCCCTGCTTCTCTCATGCAACCTAGTTAACAAGATTCTACTCTCCCTTCTGCAGTACTGAAAATTGAGCCTGGATCCTTGTGTATGCTGGGCAAGTGCTCTGCCATTGAGCTATATCCTTAATCCTAGCTGGCTGAGTATGGTGGTGCACATCTCTAATCCCATCACTCAGAAGGCTGAGACAGGAGGACCACTGTGACTACATAGTAAGTTCAAGGATGCCTGAACTACACAGCGAGACCCTATCTTTAAAAATTTAAACATGGATCACTTTATGTGTCTGCTCCCAGGTAGATTCCTTGTAGGAAAGGGTTACGTCATTACCCTCCTATAGTCCTGGAGCTGGCCTTATACTGGATGCTCAGTATCTGATGGGTGAAATGGGTTGAGGAATGAACAGAAAGACCCCTTGATCCCATGGTCCTTCTCCTAGTCCTATTTCTTACCGTATGGACCAAAATGTAAAATATCCTTTCAGGAAAGATACCCTTCTCTGCATTTGAGGCTCTGGTTGTAATTGAGACAATAGAGGAAGTGAATAATTGTGTCTGCACCTGATCCAGAAGGGTACTGGACCTCTGGGTTGTGCCGTCTTTCTCAAAGCTAAAAACTTATTCTTGTCACTTAAGCTCTTGTGTATATTAAGAGGTATTTCTGAGTTGCTCAGAAAAATCTTTGAAATTTATAACCTGAAGCCCACAGAGGTCTGGTCACCGGCACAATTTACACAGCTCCAGGTAGTTGAGACAGAGCTGACATTCTGAACTCCTTGCTGCCAGTGACTAGCCTTCACTTCAAACTAAGGGGCAGGCAGCATGCTGAGGCTGTGGGCAGGAAAAGGAAAAGTCACAGTCCTTGTCTGGCAGAACCTGTCTTCTTCGAACAGCGCCAAGAGGGCACCGAGTTTCCATAGCTCGGAGCCAAGATCCCTGTGGCCTCAGCAGCTTGGTGTGAGAAGAGACCGGACTCAAGCTGTGGGCTTCTCTGGGACCTGGTAGGCCGCGGGGCCCCAGCCCCTCCCGCCTAGCCTGGAGCTTGTTGCCGCCATTACCACGAACCAATCGTGCCAGGAAGTCATCACTATGATTTCAGAACTGCATTGTAAATTATGCAAAGCGCCGGGATAATTACAGCCGGGCGCTCAGAACTCGGGACGCATATGCTACGGCTGTGTGTGCGCGCCTTGTGCCTTTTGCCAGGGCTGGATTGCTCTGTGTGCATGTGCGCGCCTGCGTGTGTGTGTTTTCACTGGGCATCTTGACTCCCTGCTTGATTACAGACTGGTTACAGGAGAGTGAGCATTCCAATTTTGATTTTGAGACGATGTCATGAGTCTTGGGAGTATTTTTCGATTTTGGTGCCTGCAAATGGGGCAGGATGGCGACGCTGGAGATGGGGATGCGGGTATTTTGCAACCCAGGAGGCCACGATCCTCCTAACTCCTAGCCCAGTATCTGCAAAGCAGGTCCTCATCCTCCTGGACACACACCCTTAAAGTTCTCCCTGGAGACAAGCTTGGATCTAGTGCCCCCACTACTGCCTTCATCTTCGGCCCACACAAATTAGTTCGACTCCTGTAAGTTCTTTGTTCTTAACCAAGCGCCCCCTTCCGCCTTCGCATCAGAAACCGTGGTAGCGGCGTCGATGGCAGAAACCAGTGGATTTCTGGCGGGAGCCAGAACTCGACGAGACCAAACAGAGACTGGCATTTTAATTTGTTTCAAAGCTAAAGGGGAAATCCCTTTTCTCTTTGGGAGCAGAGTTCGAATTTGTACAATGGAGCAGGCAGAGCACGGTTCTGCCCAACTTAACTGTCAAAAAATTAGTAATTTTTTAAAAAGGTTGACTTCTTGCCTTGCCTCCTAAACAGCCCGCGGATTTACGGCCTTCCCCACAATGCCATGAACTCGTCCCTATTCCAAACACCGAGGGGGGCGGGAAACTTGGGACAGGGTAACCCAGCTCCCGCCTGCGGCTGCGCGGCCCTACAGCGCGGGCTCTGGTGCGCGTGGCGCGCGCGGCCCGAGGCTCCGGCCCCGCCGCGGCAGCTTGAAAGTTGCGTTTGGTCACGTGCTGCGGCGCCCACAAAGGCGCACAGCCAGCGCACCCCGGGACAAGGCGCGGAGAAGGTGTGGCGCCCCCGAGGGCTGGAGGCGGACTCAGGACTCGCTCGAAGTCGGAGTTGCTGCGGAGTCCGGAGAGAGCATCCGGTCGGGGCGGACGGGCTGAACCCCTCCCTCCGAAGGCTGTGAGGAGGGGGACGCTGACCCCTGACACCCCGCAGGGCCCACGCCCCGAGGAGAGGCTGGCAAGCTCTTGTTCGACAAGTTCAAGCTGCCGAGAGAGTTTAAATAGAATTAATCTCTCCGTGATCGGAGATCGCCGCTCGGTCCGTGTGCGCTCCCTGGGGGCGCTTCTGGACCTGGGCGCCAGAGACCTCGGAACTGCGGGAAGCGAGCAGAGGAGCGGGACGAGGGGAGCTCTGCAAAGTCCCGGGCCTGGAGGGGGCGATCCAGCGATACCTCTGGGGTCGAGCAGCGGAGGAAAAGCTCTGCCGCTCCCGAGCTGCTGGCGGAGGCTAGGGGCGCTTCGCGCAGCTGTGTCGCAGCAGGCTCTACTCGGAAGAAGTTGGAGCCGCCCTCCCCGCGGTTGATGCCCAAACCCACCGCTCGAAGGCTGGCGGAAGCAGAAGGCTCCGGAAGACCTGTCCCAGGCCCCAGTTCCACACACAGCGTCCTCAGCTCTGACTTTGCAAAGATAGTTGCAAAATGAATAAATTACTCACCTCGGGTCAGATCCAAGTTTTACCCAACAGAAGGGGCACGGGACCAAGAATGAACCAACTCACACGGTCACGTCGGGCGTGCACAATCACACACAAACACAGCCACCCAAATTCTTCCAGGAATCTATTTGTCTGGCACTCCTGGAGAGAGGGGGAAAGCGTTTTGAGAAAGCCCATCACCCCTCCCCTTCTCCCTTGCCATTAAATAGAATAATTCATTTTTATTACAAGAGCAACGCCATCCTCACCATCACGCGAGCAGAGTCCCGTATTCACACTCTAACTCCTCAGCTCCAAAAGCGCCTGCATTTTCTCTGGGAGCCGCTGGGAGGTTCATTAATATCATTAGCATTTAACCCCCTCCCTCTTCCCATCTCCTCCCCGCACATGGCTGACGTCAGACCCCGCCAGGAGTTGGGGGAAAAGCTAAGTGGGCCAGGGACGCCCTATTCCCCTCCCAGCGGCTGCCTGTCAGAGAGCTTCTGGAGATATTACAGGGGACCCAGCCCGCAGCGACAGGCACAAAGTCACAGGGTAATGAACTTCGGGGACCCTTTGCCGCTGCTTGCGCGGCTCTCCCCGGAAACCCGGACCCGGCCGCCGCTTTCCTCCGGAGATTTCCTGGCAATCTAGTTTTCCTACTCCGCTCTTGCATTCCGGCAGCTCGGAGCCCATCTGCCTCTGAGACTGCGGTTGTGTGTTTCATCTTTCTTAAAATCAGCGGTCTGTAGAGATTGCCAACACTCTGCATGCTTGTGCAGAGGGAGAGATTGAAGACTGAGTGACAGGAATGGGGAAAGAGAGAGCTTTTGCTTTTTTTGCACCGTAGGAAAGCCATTTTCCTGTCTCGTCAGTCCCTGTCCTTCAGTTCCTCCCTCGTGTTGTCCCCTCTTCTTCAGCCTGCCTGCCTGTCCATCCCTCCATCTGTCTGTGCATCTGTGTGTTCATATCGAGCAGCATTCCCAGCAGCTGCAGTTTTGCAAGAGCCGGGAATAAACTTAAGGATGCTTAAATTTCCACTGTGGAACGAATTTTGAGCGGCCAGAGAACAGCGCCGCGCGCAAGCGATACCCACCTGCCCAGCCCCGGAGCCTCGCAGGCTGGAGGGCGGCTGGCGAGCTGCGGCGCCCGGCAGCGAGGCAGGCGCTGCCGGCCGGGACTCGGGCAGTGCCCACCAGCCGCTTCGTCCTGGGACCGCCAGCATGAGCAAGCCGGCCGGATCAACAAGTGGGTACCTCTCAGGCCGCCGGGGTCCAGGCGCGCTACCTGGGGCGGGCGATTGGGCGGGGAGGCCTGGGAGGTCCTGCCTGGAGCACTCAGCTCCGAGCACCAGAAAGGGACCCCAACGGGCGTGTGCCCTTTGGCCCAGCCCTTGTGAACCTCGAGTTGGAGCACTTGGTGGAGAGAAAGGGGCAATTTCGTTGCTTCTGAATTTCTTGATTTCCCCCTTCTCTAATGTGACGTGAAGGTTGTGACCCACGCAACCACTCATCCAGCAAGTTGCTTCCATTTAGTCGCTAGGTGCTGGAGATGAGAGGGATCCGACGGGGGGTGGGAACTAGGCAGCGCTTCAGCCTGCAGCACAATAACACACTCGCTCAGAACTCCGAGCTGCAGCACGCAAAAGCAACTCTGTGCAAAGCGGATTTTGAATGGAATGCTTTGCAACCCGTTTCTAGCTATTTCAAATAATCCTGCAAACTAGGAAGCAGAAACAATTTAAAAGTCACATTTTTCTTAATCCTAAATCCTCGTAGGTCATAACTGGGGAATTTAAAGTATGGCGAACCATTCTAGCAAAGAGACAGCCAAATCCCTAATCCCAAAGACTTTTCGAGTCGCAGCTCTGCAGAGACAGGAGTGCGCGGCCTGCTCTTTCCACGTTCTTCTCTCTTTCCTGCAACTTTCTCAGCCTCTGGCTCACCCTCCAAACGCCGAGCGCGCCTGACCTCATCCCACCCCAGACCGGGAGTGCGGAACTACGGGAGTGTTCTATGTGATGGCATTTGGGAGCACAGTCCCTGCGGAACCCGGGAACATGCAGGCCTGCATCGGCCTGGGGAAGGCGCGACCGCGGTGCTCGGATTTCTCAGTTCCCGCCTAACCTGGAGCTGCGGCTGCGGCTTCCAGGATCTGTGCCTGTGGGGGTGGTGGCCCCTGCCTCAGTCCCCAGGTCCCGGAGCTCTGCCACTGCCTGTGTTGTTTTCTCCTATAGCATTTTTGGCGCTCGGCGCGTTCTTTCCTACCCCTCCCCCCTCGCTCTCACTCATTGTCCCTTCGAAAGTTGGGAGAGTCTGAGATACTTCTGAGGACTGAAAATGAAGTCTCATTTTAAAGGGATGCAGTTTCCGACCCCACCTCCCGCTCCTACAAGAAGTTGGCTGTGTTTTCATTTTGTCCGTTTGTTTTGGTTTGGATGCTGGCGTTTTAAAATTAGAGCAAAGTGAATGCGAACAAAAAGAGAAAGAAAAAAATGTTTAGATCTAAGCTAGCGAGAGAGAAGGACGCTTAACCGTGGTGCCAGTGCACGGCCCACCCTGGCAGGACCTGTATTTCCTGCTAGCCTGTGGCCTACCGTGTCCCTAACTGTTTGATCTGGAGCAAGTGAGGTGGACTCGCTTTCTGTTGCTTGTGTTCATGGGGTGAGTGTCCTTCCCAGGAGACGCAAAAGGACGACTTTGCAGCTGCCTTCCAAGTATCCAGGGCCAAAACCTAGCCCTCGGGCCTGGGCAGGCCTTCTAGCTCTCTTGCCTGAGGATGGGTCTCCACCTCTTCCTCGGGCTCTTTTGCCTTCTTGGGGGGTACGGATCACCTTGGAAGCTGGGAAGGTGAGGCCTCAGAGACAAGTGAAGGGGCAGGCAGGAAAACTAGCTGGCTTAGTGCTGCACCCTCCCTCTGTGGGCCAGGAGGCAGGAGGCTAGTTTAGGGGTGCAGATTGGGCCCAACAAGGAAACTTCAGAGCTTCCCAAGCTGCCAATCTGTTTGCTTAGCAAGCTCCAAGCCCATCTCAAGTTGGATGCTGATGCTGAGGTTGCTCAGACCCAAAAGGCAGCAGCCCCCACCCAAAGTACTGCTGCATCCAAGAGCCCTTTGACCCCAGCCGCAGCCACCCGAAACCTGCCGCCCTCCAGCTGAGGGCAGCAGAGGGATTCGGCGGTGAACAGCGATCCGGGTCAGGATGGGGCCAGGCAGCGACTTGTCTCCCGCCTCCTTGGGCTTCCAGCGGCTGGAGGGCAGAGCGATGTCGCTCGGAGCCCTGCTTGGGTGGTAACAAGACCCTGGCCAGTCACCCCTGCAGCCCAGACTAACTTCTTTCAACAGCCTCTGATGGTAATTACAGTAATCGAAGCTGCCATATATCTTTAGGCAATTATGACACACAAAAAGCCCCGAGGGGACCCCCTGATGAGGGAAGTTAAGAACGGTTTCCCAGCCTCGGGAACCTCCGGCTTGCCTCACGTCCGAGCTCACTCTGCTTGCTAAATGAGAAGAGCTTTGCAACCAGCTTGTCTTGTGACCCGAAGTCACCTTAACGTGGCTAGATGGCAGAGGCCGAGGTACAGACAGAATTTTCGCGTTCTTCTTGTGCTCCACCCCAGCGCTCTTCCCTGCCCTGGTACTTCGGCTCTGAGATCTGCCCTGAGCAAACAGCTGACCTGCGGCCTAGCCTGCCCAAGGGGTACTCATCCCTGGGTCCAGACCCAGGAAGCTCAGGAAGGTCAACAGCCTGGGACTGGTCTTCCCTCTAGCACCGGCGGGTTTCCCAGAGATCTGCCTATTTGGCCACCTGTCTGGATGGGAAGCAGGGACAGAGCCTCCGCTGCTCCTCCCATACGTGCATCTTGGCATCAACATTGCCTTCTGGAAGAAGACAGCTGGGCTGACAGCACTGATGAGCCCCAAGCAAGGACCCCAGCGCTGCCAAAGCGCGTGTGTTTGCAGAGGAGAATGGTTTACATGACATGAAAACCAAGTTCTCTGCTTCCAGAGGGAGTGCGGGGCAGCAGAGCTCCAGAGCCCAGCTTCTGAGTGTCTGGGAGCTCTCTTGGGCACGGGGGCTGGAGGACGAGACCCGCGGTGGCCTCATTTGGCTCTCTCCAGCCCCTCCCTCCCCCGGCAAACCTCCCCTCTCGCCCTGCGGGAGAGGGGGTGCCAAGACGGTGGCCGCTGCGCCGAGCGCCTCCCCCGCCGGCCTTTGTCGCTTTCCGAATTCCCATGCTACTCTTTTTGACGGGTCACTGGTGGTTCTATAGGCAGGTGCCGCGGCAGGGTTGTAATTACTCGGGCCGAGCCTGGTCGTTACCGGCCCCCCACCCCCAACGCGCGCCAGTCAACTCTCCGCGCTCCTCTCCACCTGAGCCGAAGCTGGCCCCGGGTGCGAGCCGCCCGAAGCCTCGGAATCTGGATGCACGTTTGCATACAGGAGTCCCGGGGCCGCCCTCGCCACCTCAGCTGCCCTCTCCAGCTCTCTGCACCCCAGCCCAAAAGCTCCCTTGGGGCAGCGTTCGAGTTTCAGCCAGGCCTGAGGCCGCCTGGGCCGGGATGAGAAGTCTCTGGTCAGACACTGATGGGGAAATCAAGTGTTAGTAAGTTCGTTGTTATTGCTGATTTGTTATTAAGATGCTAGCACTTTTTAAATGTTTTCTTTGGTTTTGCGTTAGAAAAGATCTCTAAGTCCCTAAACCGCTTCAGGTACTTTTTGGACCCTTGAACCTCAGAGAAACGCCAATTTCCGGATAATTCCTTCTCCCTTACTACTCCTCCAGAGGCCTCCTCTAGCTTCCGGGGACTCCCAAGAAAGTTCTTTTGAACCCGAATCCAGTGGGATGAGTGAAAAAGCCTAGAGAAACTGAAGTCTTTAAAAAAAAAAAAAAAAAAACCTCCCACCAACGGCAGGAAAACTTGGAGGAAGACTACACAAAAGCAAGAAGAGGCTAGAGTTTCAGGGAGAATGGTTTGGGGTATGGGAACCAAAGGTGGCTGTCCCCTGCCAAGCTGGGGGGTGGTGCCAAGGTCTGGTCACTGTCCTCCGCCTGCCCAAGCCAGTAGCACTTTGCAGAGAAAAAAATTTTCCTCAAAGAAATAATTTCTCCAAAGCAATCTGCCAAGCATTTTTTAAATAGGTAAAGAAAAAGTTGGGCAATTACCACTATCCTTATTATCATTAATAATCCAACTATTAGCATCACAATAATAATCCTAATAATAACAACCGCCCGGGGCCGAGCTCCGAGAAAACTCGATTGCCTTCCAGCTGCCATCCCAGGTTCCAGCCGTGTTTGTTTTTCTTCTTTTCCCTTTTACATTTCAAGTTTGTCTCCTTGCAGTCTCACTAACAACTTTCTGTGCTAAATGCAAGAGCTGAGGAGGGAGGCCGCCAAACTTTCCGAGGAGCAGAAAGGCAGTGGCGGGCTGTGCTGCTGCCCCGGCCTGCTGTAATCTTTTATGCCAAAATGGGTCTCGGCGATTAGAGGAGACCCAAATACATGTAGCGGTGCATGAATAATGCTCATTGTAGGAAACTGACACTTGCTCAAGGAAAAAAAGTTTGGCTATAAAATCACTTCATTATTTGCTTTTACCGCAGCTTCGACGCTAATCCCTTCAGAGGTCAGATTGCTTAGCATCTCTCTCCCTCTCCCCTTGCCTCCCTCTTCTCCGCCCTCGCCCCGTCCCCCTTCCCTGTCTTTCTCGCGGGTTCAGGCCGCATTTTAGACATCCCCTGCAAAGTGTGTGGCGACCGCAGCTCTGGGAAGCACTACGGGGTGTACGCTTGCGACGGCTGCTCGGGATTTTTCAAGAGGAGCATTCGGAGGAATCGGACCTACGTCTGCAAGTCTGGAAATCAGGTACCTTAGCCAGGGCTGTGCCTCCCCCGGCCCCCGGCCCCCGGCCCCCCTTTCCCAGGGGCCAAGGCCTCCTCTGGGGAGAGGCCTGGCCTGGACCTCTCCCTCCCTCTCCTCTTTCCTGCCTCAACTCTGGAAAGCCCTTTGGCTCTGGAAGGGAGGAATCAGGGAAGGGAGGACAGATTAGAAAGAAGTCTAAAATCCCATAGTCTTCCTACACTTTTTAAAAAAGTCTTATGACATTTGACAGTGGTGGGGCCTACACCTGGTGGTTATGGAGCGAGAGCCAGCTCAGGGCAGCTGAAGAACTTTAGAATCTAAACCACAAGTAACCTAGCAGCGAGCTATGTTGTGTAGTCGTCCCACCCACACTCTTAGTAGCATCCGAGCTCCTTCTTCTGACTACTGCTAGAGAAGGCAGAAGTAACAGGTACAAGGACAATCAAGGTCACAACCATAGGTGGCTGAGACCCTACCCTACAGTGAGCCAGTGAAGACAGAGGTTATGAGCTGCAAGGAACTACTTTGCAAGTTGGCAGTGAGACTTCACAGCCCGGTTGACTCTATCTGGGTCTGGTCAGAAAAGGGAAGGAAAAGGCAGAAGAGAATGCTCAAATGGGGGTGCAACTGGGACCCTCCCCCCTTTCCACATCTTCTTCCTCCTCTGCTTAGAAAACGTGCTGGTGGATTGTGTTCTGCTCTTGAACAAACAGGACTGTCTTTGAAGGGCAGGTGCACTGGAATATAAGCCAAAGCACGCAGACAGAGTGAGCAGAAGTGATTGATTGACTCAGTTTCCCCCTCAGCAGTAGACTTCAACCTGAAAGATCAGTCTTTCACTCTCACACTCTGCTATCCCCTCAGCCAGGCACACAGAGCCTGAGTTCAGAAGCTTCCACTTTCAATACTGGGAGGATCCCTCAGATGCGTCAGTCAGGAGTCTGCTTTTAGTAACCAAATGACACAAAGCTTTCACTAGTTAATTCATATGACATACATAAACACATACAAACAGCATCTGGTGCTAATGAATTATTCTGGCTTCTCCTTTTGGATTTGCATTGCCAGCAAATATAAGAAGACATTTGCACTTGGAGGTTATTTTGAATTCTCTGTCCCTGTGTTACCTGTTTAAATGAGTAGTTGAATCCATATCAGTTTCTAGCTGCATCTTCAAAGATGTCAGGTTATGTATGCACATAGGACTATACCCAAGGATTCCCATAGAGTCGGAATTACTGGGAGGTGTCCTATTTTACTTTTTGCTTTTTTTCAGTGCTGGGGATGGAACCCAGAGCCTCATGCATGCTAGGCAAGTGCTATCAATCCAAGCATGTTGATATCAGTCCAAGTACTTGTAAAGGGATGATGATAGATCATCATGCCTGATGCTATTCTAGAGGACCAGGTAGCTGAGTTGAGCACTCACTGGTCCCTTTCTCTTGTTCCATATATTCATATATATTTCATCCAATTTGAAGACACTCTTAAGAAAGAACGGAGGCTACCATTTGCATTTTTTTTTTTAATCAGACTATTGGATACCATCCCAGGACAAGTGCTTGATTACATCCAGTAAATTCTTCAGACCTCTTTACTTTGACCTATTATGCTGGCCAAAGAGGACTGAGGAACTGTCTTGGGAGCTAAAAATTATTTTTCTCTTCTCTTTTGTTCTAAGACTAGGTAAATAATATTTCAATAGATCATTAACAACAAAACATTTAGACACTTTATGAACACCTGGCTCTCTTTTATTTTAAACATGTCACCCTTTCCATTGTTGTTTTGCTTTGTTTTTCTGCTAGGGATTGAACTCAGGGTCTCTATGTGCTGACTATGCATGCATATGCTCTACCACTTAGTTACATCCCTGGCCAAGTCAACATCTTTTAAATTGGAGGAATGTGATCATATAAACCCATGCAGCTCAGTATGTGATTTTACTTATGGAATATCTCAAAGGAAAAAAAATACTCATTCTACTTCAAAGTGTATGCATTTTTGAGATTCAGAAACAAAATTAAAATGCACATATTTTTATTGTCTTCATTCTCACTACAAATGTGAACAGTGACAACTTATACAAATAGAGGAAAGCACCAAACTTACCTGATGTCTTTGGCCTATAAAATACTTATGGCTACTATGTTCTCCCACTGTAGCTCACCCTCTCCTTTAGGGTGTACTTTTCCTTCTTTTACTTGGCCCAAATTTACTCTGCAGAGCTTATTTATTTGTTTATTTATTTAAGGCTGGGTCTCACTAAATAGTTTAGGCTATCCTTGAACTCATTATGTAGTCCAGCTGGCCTCAAACTTGCTGTGATCCTCCTGCCTCAGTCTCTGAGTGCCAAAATTTCAGGCTTATACCACCATACCCTACCTTTTCCTATCTTTCATAAATATGAAATGATATTTTAAACTACCTATGTACAGGTTGGAGAGGCAGCTCCGTGGGAGAGCTCTTGTCTGATATGCAAGAGGCCCTGGATTCCAACTGGATCCCAGCCCTGTTAAAGAAGAAAAAGCTAGTGCACATATGATTGTCTGCCTGCATGTTCCCTCAGCAATAACACCAAACACTATATAAAACCCAAACTAAACTGTGTAAATTTTCTCTTTTAATTGTCAACGCTATTTCAGAAAATTACATTATTTTCTTATTCATGTTAGACAAATATTTCTGGGGCACTGACTACCTTTTTATCAGTTGTCATGCTGAATAGTCTCAGTCCCTAATATCATTTTGTCAGACAGCCCATCATTATCTTCCTAGGCATGTTTAACCAGTGAAATTTAGATTTTTCTAGATTCCCCCAGATCTTGGCCTCTTTCCCTCCTCATAGCTCTCCTTGTGTAAGCCTTGGCCACTCTAATTTGTATTGTCTTTCTGGGAATAACTATGTTTCCATGAATAATGGCACTAGTTTTATTTATTTACTTATGGCATTAGTTTTAAAGATGAAAGTTTTCTCAACGTGTTGTTCTGAATGGCTTAAAGTACAAAAGCCATGTTAAAGTATTAGAAAAGAGAAAAAACAAACGGGAGAGATTGTTTGTTAGGCGATTGGGCTCATCCAGAATGTAGCAGAAAGAGGTAGAGTCAAGACCTGAAAGCGCAGGGTATTTGGCAGGAGGGAGAGGCAGCTTGGGTCTTGACCCAAAGCCTGCTCCTCGGAGAGCGCTGGGCCCGGTCGCTGTCTTCGGTCCTGAAAAGTCTGGTCCCTCTTTGACTACCGGAAGTTATTCTCTAGAAATCTGGCAAACCGCGCGATCAGATCCTTACCCTGTCGGGAGAAGGACCTTTTCCTCCTAAACTGAGTCCATAGGATCTTGAGCTGGCCCTTTTGAGGCAGCCCCGGAAATCCCAGCCCTTTTTCTACCTGGTCTTTCTCGTTCCCAAGTCTTGTACTTGTCTCCGGCCCAGTCACCCGCTCTGGACCCACGGGCCAACCAGGGTCCTGTACTATTCCTCCCGCGGGGCGCCAGCTTCTGGTTCTCTCCTAAGGGTGCTGGTGGTCACTGTGCTCTGTTCCAGGGAGGCTGCCCAGTAGACAAGACACACAGAAACCAGTGCCGGGCGTGTCGGCTGAAGAAGTGTTTGGAAGTCAACATGAACAAAGATGGTAATCAGTCCATCCCTTTATTCTTGTAATGTTGATTGAGTAGTAAGTAAATTATATGTACAGAAAATACACGACACTCCTATGCATGTAAATCATCTTCCAACAGAGCACTTCTTTCCCGCACAGGCCTCTGTGCGGGAGTCCCCAGCTGACCCCACTGAACTGCCCTGGACAAGGCCTATGCTCGCATCAGAACCTTGCGCCCCCAAACCACCTCAGGAAGACACAGCTGGGGCGCGCGGGGTGGGGGTGGGGGTGGGGGTGGTGTATTTTCTGCTCCTCTCAACATCCCTCTTCCCGCGGCTCTTTGCAGCCCTTCGTGGCCACTCCTGAGCCTGCCTGCCTCGCCAAGGAACTCACAGTCTTTGTAGTGGAGTCGGGGGTTGGAGGAGGGAGAGCAGAGACGTGAAATTTCACACTTGATTGCAAATTCTCGAAGATACCAACATCAGTACGGCTATGGGACGGCTCTAGGCTTTTCCAGAGTCCTTTCTCGGTTCTACAGAAAAAAGAGGCATGAAGAGGCAGGTGACTGCTCAGGGGTGCGTGCCACACCCGGCTCCCCCGGGCCCCCATGCGCTCACGCTCCAAAGCACCTGGGTTTCACAATGCTTCCTGAGCCTGGAGTACAGATTGAGCTATGTGTTCGTCGCCCCCGGCGAGGGCGCCCCCAGGCCTGGGCGGGGATCCCGAGCCTGGGCTGCAGCCATGGGGTCCTACGCCTGTCCAGGAGAGCGCCTTCTCCGTCGCCCAGGAAGCGGGAGGGGACTCCAACCTGTTGAACTTGTGTATTGACAAGTTGTCAGGCTCTGCGGGCGGAAGATTGCCCTGAATTAATTTGTTTGTTTAAACTGTTGGTGGTAATTGTCACATCTCCCCTGCCTTCCTCAGCACTCTGGAAGACAAGCTCTTCCTCGTCCCATCCCCCAGCGTGCTTGGGTTCCGGTCCTTTCCGCCAGGGGCTTTGGAGTGGGCTGAAGCCCCTCTGGGGGGCAGGCCTGTAGGCAGGGGAACTGCAGGCGTCTGCGCGGAGACGTGTGTGGGCGAGGCAGGTCAGCTACTGCAGCCCGGAGGTCTTTTGGCTTCGCTGTGACTCCTGGGTGAAGAGGAGCCGTGCAGGAACCAGGACGCACCTGGTCTTGCCTATATTGGACCGCTCCTGTGGCCCCTTGGGCCCGGGCTGCTCCGGGCCTCAGCTCTCGGGTGCACCCGGTGCAGGACTGAGATGAGCTCGGGGCGCCTTCTGTCCTTCGGTTCCAGGACCTTCCTGATTTTGACCGCTCGGTGATCTCGCCTGCCCAGATGTGCCATGAGGTGGGGTCTCTGATGGTCACATGCGCCCGTGTCTTTGTCTCTGCAGCCGTGCAGCACGAGCGGGGGCCTCGAACGTCCACCATCCGCAAACAGGTGGCCCTCTACTTCCGCGGACACAAGGAGGACAACGGGGCGGCCGCGCACTTCCCATCCGCGGCGCTGCCCGCCCCGGCCTTCTTCACCACAGTCACGCAGCTGGAGCCGCACGGCCTGGAGCTCGCCGCGGTGTCCGCCACCCCTGAACGGCAGACCCTCGTGAGCCTGGCTCAGCCCACGCCCAAGGTCAGTGGCCTTGCTGGCCGCGGAAGCAGGGAGCCGCGTGCACCCAGTTGTCCCGCGGTTGATGGGGTCAGGGGAAAGGCAGAGACTTGGCCGCGCTCAGCTAGGCGTCCTGTCCTCCGGCTGAGCTATTGGCGCTCAGACTTCAGTGTAGGGACCCCAACCTGCAAGTAACTACAACTACAAAGGTAGACTCCCAAACTCACCCCCGTGCAGAAACTCCTCTGGGCAGATTCTAGGGTGGAAGCCAGAAACCTGCTCCACTAGAAAACACCTACTGTGCTGCTTGATGGTGAGTGGAATCATAGAAAGCCAGAGAGCAGCCTCAGGGCTTCCCAGAGGCCAAAGAAAGATACATATGTTTTATTATTTTTAGAATTGGGGGCTGGGGTGATGGCTCAGTGGAATAAGCGCTTCCCTGGCAAGTACAAGGGCCTGAGTTCAATCCTCGGTTCTGCCAAAAAATAAAATAAAATTAATTTTATCAAACATTTGTTTTATAACAAAGTATTTGGCTCCAACTGGAAGAAAAGGCCTTGAATCACAAGTCTGTGGGATCAGCTATCTCGGACAAAGCAATGAGTCTCCAAGACAAGCTAGATTCTAGTGTCCTAACCCTGTTAGGGCAGTTTGCAGAATCTGACTTACTTTTACACGCACTCCTTACTCCCTTCTGAGCCACCTGTGTGGTTGAGCCAAGATTGAGCCAATTTATACCAAGATTGAGCCCCTCCTAGTGAAGCTGCTGCGTCCGAGCCACCTAGGAAACTTGCCACCTAAGGAGTGCCCTGCAGGCTTCAGCTGACACCACCCAGGGCCCCCACTCCAGGAGGGAAGGGCCTAGGACTCCCCCAGAGGAGGGCCAGCTGCAGCCTCACACTGTGGGGAAGCCAAACACCTGGGCACATACACATGCACAATATTTAATATTGCTTTCTTACCCTTGATGTGTATAATAAGCTCAGGAAAGTAGTGTTATGAATATGTTGTCAGTTATGAATGGGAACGCTCTGTGAATGATTAAGATGTCTAATTGAAATATTTCCATAATATACTAATCCTTTCTAAAAATACTCATATGCATATTTGTGTTTGGGATGCCTATTAATTTATACTTTTTTCACATCTATTTTTATTTACACAAATGCAAGCAGCACTTGTCTAAATTGGGAGCCAGGCCTGGCACTGGGCTGAGCCCAAGGAAAATTTAATGCAGAGGAAAGATAAGCCGGGCACCTTCTTGAAAGGGAAAGGTCCCTGAAGATTAGAATGTACCTTTGCAAAGTGCATCATTCCCCCAATTCCATAGGTACAGATGATGAGTTTTTACCCACCAATGGCAACTGTACATGAAATAGAAGAACATCCAGGTTCCTTTTCATCTCCTTTTTTGCTTAATTAGATGAGTTTGACTCTTCTTGCTCTGCTGTGGATTCCTCACTTCCAAGCATATCTCTCTGTCCCCCTCCCAGTACCCCCATGAAGTGAATGGGACCCCGATGTATCTGTATGAAGTGGCCACAGAGTCGGTGTGTGAATCGGCTGCCAGGCTCCTCTTTATGAGCATCAAATGGGCTAAGAGTGTGCCAGCTTTTTCCACGCTGTCTTTGCAAGACCAGGTATGACCAACAGGGCACCAAGGTCTTGTGAGAAGGGGTTGGACACAATGCAGTTCAATTCTGTAAGCATTCAGTCTTAGAAAGCTGGACATTACTTGGATAAATCACTAAGGCAAACATGTATTCTTAATGTTGAAGAGGAAACTATTTTTACCAGCATCTTTCTACAGGTTCAGTATATCTACCTATAGAATCTTTAGAAATAAAATTAAGTTATTTCAAAAAGGCTGGATCTGGTGTACAAAAACACATGAATAAGAATATTATCTCTATGTCAGTTTAATTGAAACATCAAATTTAATCTCAAATTTAAAAATCGTAGTCTTTTTCCTTTTTTAAGCTCATGATAAATCTGTACTTTCTTAATACTAAAACAGAAATTGCAGGTGTTAAGAGTATTTTCTTATGAGATTTTGAAACTAGTCTCATTATTTTATATTTGCAGCTTTATTTTATTCATTGTGATACAGTTTGGGCCACTGACTTAGCAGCACATAGCACCATAGCATGCATTGCACACCTCCTGCATGCTGGGATATTTTGGAGTTCAAATGTTTTTAGAGATTTCATAAATAAATAGACATTTTGCATAATTCTGTGGTCATAAATGACATTCAGAGAGAAAATTGTGCAGCTAAAATTACTTTGTAAGGGCTGGCCAGGTAGCTCAGTGAACTAAAGGGCCTGCTTAGGCAGGCAAAGGGACAGGAGGTCTATCCCCAGTGTGTGGTGCCAGGTGCACCCCCAGGACATGCTAAGATGGCGACTGAGACTGGGTGTGGTGGCTCATGCCTGTAATCCCAGCACTGGGGAGGCTGAAAACAGGAGGATCACTTCCAGTCCAATCTGTGTAGTGAGACCCTGTAGACCCTGTACTAAATACATTAAAAAAAAACTTTATATCACAATGATGACATTAGGTTGCTGGGAATATAAAAAATAGCCCATGACAGCATTTTTCTAACCAGTAAGAGACAAAGATAATAAAATGTTCACAACTATTGTCTGCAAGTACTGTATTCATGTAAATTAATGACAAATTTACAAAAAGTCAAGTAGTTTCTGGGTCCCCACCACCACTTGTGCTGGAGATCAAACCCAGAGTCTAGAACATGATAGGCAAGTGTTCTATCAATGAACTACACCCTAAACCCTAGTAAGTAGTTCTAAAAGCAAAGGATTTAATTCTTCAATTGTTTTCATAGCTAATTAATGTATAATAGTGCCCCTTAATATGAAGTATTTTTTTACAGAAAGACTGGGAGATTTACTAAGACACTTAATTTTCTAGTATGAAGTAGTCAGAATTAGATATTGTTTTTACTTTGTACATTAAAATGATGATTTCCTATACTTACTTAATGCAATAAAATACAAAAAACATTTTGAAAGTTAAATCTTTTGGTCTAATTATGATTTTGGTTACAAACCTTCATGGTTTTAGAAGTCTCATGCTCTACCGACTGAGCTAGCCGGGCACTTGCCTTCATGGTTTTAGGAAATTCTTTTATACATATCATAAAGAACTGGCTGGGTTTTGAGGTTTTTTTTTTTTTAGTGAAGATTATTTTTTCAAGATTGTTAAAAGTATCAGCTCTAGTATTTGATGTGAGTGTGTGTGTGTGTGTGTGTGTGTGTGTGTGTGTGTGCGCGCACGTGCATGTGTGTGCGCATGCGCGCACACTGGCTATTCTTTTTCTTAAACAAGTATTTGTATTCTTGAATCCAAACAAAATTCACTTAGCTCTCTGGTAGAAACCCTTTGACAATAGGCAAACTGTAGTGAAATAGAATTTGGTATATTAATCTGGAAAATGAGACAGATTTTCACTTAAACATTCAATAGCATATTTTATTAGAATGAAAATGACAAGCACCTTGATGCTGTCCACTTATGAGTCTCAGAAAAATCAGACAGTGAGATGAGGTAAACTCAGTGAAACCTGATTAACATAATTATACCCTGATTTCTCCCATGCCTCTTGAGAATTAGTCTCTCTCTCTCTCTCTCTCTCTCTCTCTCTCTCTCTCTCTCTCTCCTCCCCCCCTCCCTCCCTCCCTCCCTTCCTCCCCTCTTCCCTCTCTGCCCCCGTCTCTCTCTCCCTCCCTCCCTCCCTCCCTTCCTCCCCTCCTCTCTGCCCAGCCTGCCCAGCCCCCCTTGGCCCTCCAGACCTACAAACTTAGTCATAGTCGTAACCCTCAGCCCTGACAACATCAGTGTCCTGTACCAAGGGAGCCCACCTGCCAAGCTGCTGGTGGCATTTCAGAAAGCCTGATCTCCAGAGAAGTTTCTAGGTGTACAGGAAGGGGTGGGTGCAGAGACAGGAGGGTAGATCCTTTTCTGAGTGAAGCAAATGTTGAGGAATTAGAATGGCTGACTCTCAAATGTATGTGGACACCCATAGGCACTTTTTTTCTTTTTTTAAAAAAGGATAATATGGGAAAGCTGAACTATTCAGAAAAAGATTTACCAAGACAGACGCTTAAAGCACTTTTAAAAATAATGGAATTTACAGATTGAAATTGTTTATAAATTTATAAATTACACACTATATTATATTATACATCTATTGTATGACAGCTGATGCTTTTGGAAGATGCTTGGAGAGAACTGTTTGTTCTAGGAATAGCACAATGGGCCATTCCGGTTGATGCTAACACTCTACTGGCTGTATCTGGTAAGAATTGCACAATTTAATGACTTTGTTGTAGAAATTACCATAAAAATACATTACTGAAAAAAGAACAACATGTAAAGAATAACAAATTCCTGCTGAACAATAGAGTATACCTGTCATTTATAAATCTATATTTAAATGCAAATAATGTTGTTTTGTTGTATTCATGACTGCTTGCATTGTTATTTAAATGCAAATTACTGTGTTTGTTATCATCCAAGAGAAGATTTTGTATTAACTTTCATACAATATAGCCAGTTTACATGGAATCAGATATCTCAGAGTGACAATTGAATATTGATATGCAGTATTTTGTCAAAAATCAATATTAAATCGTGAAAATGCCTTCATATTAAAGTATTTATCCCATATTTTTATTCTAGGCATGAATGGTGACAACACAGATTCCCAAAAGCTGAACAAGATCATATCTGAAATTCAGGCTTTACAAGAGGTGGTAGCTCGGTTCAGACAGCTCCGGTTGGACGCCACTGAATTCGCCTGTCTGAAATGCATCGTCACTTTCAAAGCTGGTGAGCAGATGCAGGCCCCTGTCTCTTGTCCTTTAGTAGTTTGCAACCTCATTAAGTTCAGCCACCTCAGAGTCTAGATTGACCTCTGCAAAAAGAGATGGTCTTCTCAGAGGAGCTGGTTCTCCAAAACTGACCCCTTCTCCCATAACTGGGGACCTGTGTGCTGTGCTGTGGGCACCCACTCCCAGAGTGGCGCGTGCCCACTGTAGTCCCTGTGCTGCCTGCTACAGCTTCCTGATCTCCTTTCCAGTGCCCACACACAGCGGATCTGAACTGAGAAGTTTCCGGAACGCTGCTGCCATTGCAGCTCTTCAGGATGAGGCTCAGCTAACTCTCAACAGCTACATCCATACCAGGTAACCCTTGATTGGCTTGAATATGTACTTAAGAAAATTGCTCACATGGTGGACTTGTGAGCAGGCAGTAATAAGCCAGTTCTAACACAGTGACTAATTATCCTATCGCTAATTAATCAGTTAATTTAGTTAGAAGTTGTGTCCTCACCTAGCTCTCATGATAGGCGAGAAGAGCAAATCACTTTTTTTTTTCTTTTTTTGGCGGATGGGGGATTGAACTCAGGCTCTTGCGCTTGCCAGGGAAGTGCTTTGTCTACTGAGCCATCTCCCCAGCCCAAGAGAGGAACAAATCAAATTAAGAGATCAAACTGAAAGCTTTGTCAGACTGCACTGGCTGAACATAGCTGTCCTGGCTGAACAGATTGATCAATCAAAGCAGTGGAACACATTTATGTGTATGTGTTTGGGAAGGGTCAAAAATGAAGGCAAACATATTGTGGTTAATGTATAATTCTTGAAAAAAGACAAATGCCAATCGCAACTAGAAAGACCAAGGACCTTTCTAGAGAGGCCATCTTTACCCTTCTCCTTGCTGCTTGGTCTTGGTGATTGGAGTCACTTGAGTAATTTCAAGTCATAGCATCCATCAGATTACTTCCAGCCTCCAGATAGCAGAGGCTATCTGTGGCATTTGTAGAAACTCCAAAAGCAAAAGCAAAGCTTGGCTGGTCCAGCACTAAGTAAGCTCACCAAGAGGTGTTGACTTCTTTTTTTTTTTTTGCGGAACATGGGATTGAACTCAGGCCCTTGCGCTTGCCAGGGAAGTGCTTATTCCACTGAGCCATCTCCCCGGCCCGGTGTTGACTTCTTGATTCCATTTTTGAATGCAAAAAAGTCAGGACCTCTTTCACTTCCTAAGTTAGGAAGGTTAGAATAAAATTTCTACTGTTCATTTTCAACATTGACCTTGGAAGCCTTTCTCCATCAGCTCAACAACAGCCATATCCACTGATGGCCCAACTACATATGATGGGTGGAGGCCATCGATGCCTCCTCACCTAAAGACCCATGAAATCTCAGGTTAACTGTTACCCACAGGGGTGATACCACTTCTGTTAGGATCTAATTGATTCTGTCATAAATTCTCTCTCCTTTTTTAATGAGACATGGCCTCAATATGCAGCTCAAGATGACCTTGAACTCACAATAATCCTCTTCCTTAAACTCCCAAATTTTGGGATTACAGGCATGTGCCACCATGCATGGCCATAAATTCTCTTTTGAATGCTAAATGAATAAATATTTACTATTGATTGGATATCATTAAACAAATTGTGTTGAGTAACAGTGCATGTGCCTATGTTTTTCCAAAATAAAGTGTCTTTGTTTAAAGTTTTAAATTCATATTGAACCCATTAGGCAGCTGATGTTGGTTAATATATATTTAAAATTATAAAATTGGAGTAGGGCATAATTTTGGCATTTTTCCCTCACCTTTGACACTGAGAAGCATTAGGATATTAAGAACACCTGAGACTGTGACATTCCTTACTTGTTCAGTCCAGACTTTGCTGGGTATTTGCCATGAGCAGGAGGACTCTGGGTGGCCATTGTGAAACATCAGAAAGAACAAGGCACTGTCTCTTTCCATTGTGACAGATGGGAAGAAATGTCACTTCAAACAGACCAGACAGGAAAAGCAAGTTGTATGGGTGAAAGGATGAGTTCTAATTGGGAGAGAAAGTCCAGGGGATTCTGGGAGATGATGACCAGGTGGCAGTTGGCCCTTGAATGATGGGAGGATGTAGCAGGGAGAGAGGGTGCATCAAGAAGCAGTGGAAAATCTGGAAGAGGTGCTGCCAGAACACTGGTACCGGGGTGGCCCAGGAGCACTCCACCACAGGGGACCCCTGGTCCAGCTAGAGAATGATGGGTACACTATGTGCCTTCACCCACAAAACAGAAACACATGTGCGTAGGGCAAATGACTGCCGTCATTGTTTCCCAGTAGTACATTTCTCCACACATAACAGACAGTAAGTTCTTATTCACTGACTAACCAGCTCTTTACCCACCAGAGAATGAAAGAAGTGGATGAGCAGAAGAGTGGGAAATAATTTGTGGAAAATCAATGTACTGTAAGGCTGGGGTACCTGCCTCGCATGCAGGCCCCTTGGTTCAGTCCCCAGCAACACACACATGTGCTTGTATACCCAAGTCAGTCGTTGATGGATTTTCCAAATCCATGACTTTTGCAAGTTGCTCTCCCACCACGGTTTCTCACCATGGGAGATAAGGGCTGGCCAAATAGCTCAACGGATTGAACCAGGGGTTTGACCCCCAGGCCTGCCATGCCAGCCCTGCCCCTGGGGTGTGCTGAGATAGCAATTGAGACCGGGCATAGTGGCACGTGCCTGTAATCCCAGCTCTTGGGAGGCTATAAACAGGCAGATCACTATGAGTCTGATCTAGTACTGAGACCCTGAACACCCTGTAGACCCTCCCCCACCAAACAAACAAACAAACATGGAAAATAGTCCTCAAGTTGCATGGATGTGGCGGGCCTGCCAGCCTGGCTAGGCAGCTGCTGCTTTCAGCCCTCTGCAGGGTCATCTCTTCTCTGTCTCATTCCTCGAAGGGGATACAAAGCTGCTGCAGAGAGGTGGCCCAAGTGAAGGGAAGACATGAGATACATTCAACAAGGAGAGCAAACAGTGGGATTAGGGTTGTGTTTTAAATGTAGATAAGCGTCGCTGTGTAGCACGCTATTAAATGTGGCTCTGTCCATGCGTGAAGAGTATAGGAACCTGATGAGGCTGGCAGAGGCCCAGAATGAATTCTCAACCTCATCTTTGGTTTGAAAGAGGGACTCTTATGTCCTCAAAGCAGAAAAGTGGCTCTGGTGGACGCTTGCAGCAGGGTAGCATCCCCAGGCAGTTAGACACAGCTACCAGTGTCTTTGAAGGCATTTTGACATGTCAGTTACCAGCACCCTGTGATCTATGTTGAGTGAGTTTATTTTTATTTATTTATTTATTATTTATTTATTTATTGGTGGAACCGGGGATTGAACTCAGGCCTTTGTGCTTGCAAGGCAAGTGCTTATTCTACTGAGCTATCTCCCTGGCCCCTGTTGAGTAAGTTTAGTCACACATATGTCCCTGGAGCTCAGTGTTTTACTTCCAGGAGGGAGCCCTCCTTGGGGTGCATATTGATACCTGTTTCTAAGCTATCAGTGAAAGCAGTAATGGGGCTGCAATAGGCATTTGAGGACAGCAGGAAATTGAACTTGCACATCTGAGTCTAGATGTATGTTGGACATCAAGAGAGGAAATTGTTAAGCAATTTCTCCCATCTTTAATTATGCGACAATTTCATTGACACGATAGTTGGGTGGCACTGCCACCCAACAGAACTTAGTCTTTAATTTGCAGTGTAATAAGGAGAGAATTATTCCTGAGAGTGACTAAGTATAATGTCTGAATAATAATTTGGAGAATTGCTTAGAAAAAGAGGCCATTTTATTTGAAATAGTTTTGTGAAGGAGCCTTGAGAATTAGAAAATGTGGGTTCATTTGGGAGCTTTGTCATTGACACCATGGTCATTTCTACAGTGACCAGCTCAAGTTTATTATTTGACCTAAAATTAGTTTCATCTTTCTTTCCTTCTCTTTTTTTCCCTTGCTTTCTTTGTTTCTTTTTTTGTACTGCAGATCAAACTCAAGGCTTTTGAGCTGAGCTACATCTCCATCCCCTTTTTCACTTTTTTTTTTTTTTTTG